GAAAAATAAAATTTAAAAATCCACGCCTTGAAGTAGTCCCTGAAAAATAAAAAAACCAATCAACTTGACAAAGTCCCTGAAGAATAAAATTAAAAAAATCTGCGCCTATATATAAATAGTGATTGTAATAAAAGTTTTAACAAATCAAGGCATATAAGTAGTCCTTGAAAAGAAACTGTTAAAATCCACACATATAAAAAGTACTTGAAAAATAAGTTTTAAAAAATGCACGCCTGTAGTGAGAAAGTGAAAAATAAGTTTTAAAAATCCATGCCTGGGTATAGTCCTTGAAAAATATTTTTTCAAACTCCATGGCTGTGTATAGTCCTTGAAAAATAATTCTTAAAAAACCAAGCCTGGGTATAGTCCTTGGAAACAAATTTTTAGAAGTCCCCATGGAATATGGAAGTATTGGTAGTATAATTCCTTCTCTTTTGAGACGTTTTTCTTTTCTTCTTCTTCTAATGTAATTTCACTTTCGAACAGGATTCCCTCATACCCCTTTTATAGAAGAACTTTTTCCCCATTTAAACATTCATCAGTTCTTATCTTTTAACCCACTGTCCGGAGAATAATACATTTTTTCTTGATCCTCAGATACTAATCGATTGTTGTTGGGATTAGGGTGGGCGAAAGTTCCTGTTGTTGTTTTATTACTTTTCTATGTTCTGCAGAATGAGAATTGGTATTTATCCTACTCAATCCAAGTATCCTCAAATGGTAGGATAAAAAGAAGATGATGAGAAGGAAAAACAGTAAACATGGACGAACGAGTTAGAGAGGCGTGCGTGCGTATCCTTTAGTGATTATGCCATTGTATGCGTGTTCACAATCCGAAATTGATGATTTGGAATGTTTTTTTTTTTTGTGGATTATTATTTTGCTGATAATTGTTGTGTTTTTGTTGTTGTTGGTATTTCAAATTGCTTGATGTTCTAGGTAAGTGCTCCAGTTTGTAGGTTGAGTATGAGAATTCCAATGAGTAGTTATTATTTGTTGTTGCTGTTGTGGAGGTATGAGGGAGGACTCTCCACTCTTTCAGTTTCATTCACCTTTAAAAATGTTTTCATAGTTAACTGCTGATGATGTTGTTGTTGTTGTTTGGCAGTTTACAACTACCGTTCATTGCGGAATGGGCCTGACAGGGAATGAAGGGTATGTTTTACCAAAGATAAGAACAACAATAACAACAACATCATAGGTATGTTATGTTTTCATTATTATTGTTGCTGTTGTTCGGTTTTGTTTGATTGGACATTTCACCAAAAGACCTGTGATACAAGCTAAGTTGTTCGGAAGGTAATTTATATGGATTATTGGAATGCTGTTTAATCCTTTGATATTACCTTAACCTTTTTTCCCTTCTCGTTAGTGTCCTTAATTCATGTTCGTTCGTCCTCCACCACCTTTCAATCTTTCTCTCTCTCTCTTCCCCCCCAAAAAATCATTTTCATTTGATTTCCTTGATTGACCTGACACTTGGTCAAATGTTAAGATTGGCTTTGTTGTGGGGGAAAGGATATTTTTTTTTTCTTGTTCTTCATCTTCGTTTTTGACATGGCATAACTGGTTGGCTAGCTGGATGGCTGACTGGCTTGAGTTATTAGATAAAGTCAAATGAGAAGGAATAGAAAAATGAGTCCTTTAGCACTCTTGTTGATGTATTATGGACAATAACAACAAGCTAGTGTTTTTTTTTTTTTTGTGTTTTGATAACAGAACACCCCCGCTCCCCTGTTTTCATAAAACACAGAAGGATGTGCTGCTGTTGTTGATATCACTTCCTTCAATTTTTTGTAGTAGTAGTTGTTGTTGTTGTTCTTGCTTTATGCGGAAGGGTCAAGTCTTCTAGGGTCATAGAAGTCGTTGTCTTCACTTTATTTTTTGTTCTATTCATTGTTGTTGTTGCTGCTGCTGTTGTTGGCCTCTCTATCCGTCTGTCTGTCTGTGTTTGACATTTATTTTATTTGCTAACCTGCCAGCAATTTAAAAGTCAAATGACTGTCATTGTTATGCTACTTAAGTGGTCACTTTTGGGGTTATCCGTAAGGCAGGAAGGACCAGGAACGTCGGCCATAATAAGACGAAAACGAAAAATATCAATATTTATTGAAGACAAACAATTCATTAAAGGATTACAGTGATTGAATGGAAAAGGAAGATGAAAGGAAATGAATGAAGGGAGTGGAGTTCTGGCGGGTGGTAAGAAAAATTGTGATTTAGGAAGGAAAGAGGATTGGGATCTTAAGAAGAAGGATGTTTTATTTTGACACCTTAAATTTTGCTGCAGTCCTTTATGAGACTCCTTAAAAAAATCCTCTCAAAATAATTTTTGAAAAATCTTTCATTGTCTGTGGTCCTTCAAAAATATATTTGAAAATCCTTTCTTCTCTGTATGTCTCAAAGGATAATTTTTGGTCTTCTCAAAAAAAAGACAAAATTGTAACAAATCTACGCATTGTTATGAAAATAATTTTTAAAAACTCTACGCCTTAATAGGCTCCTGAAAATAATTTTTAAAAACTCTACGCCTTAATAGGCTCCTGAAAAATAATTATAAAAATTTATACGCCTTGCTAGGCTCCTGAAAAATATTTTTAAAAACACTACGCCTTGCTAGGCTCCTTTATGCCTTGCTAGGCTGAGGATCCGAGAAGCGAATATCGATTCGGACCATTACCTTATGGCAGCCAAGTTACGCACCCGTCTTAATGCAGCAGCAAAGGTGCGATCTAATGTAACACGGAAATTTGACGTCGAAAAGCTGCAAACACAACAGATAGCAGAAGCCTATTCCGCTCAACTTAACCAACTGCTTGACGAAAGCACCCAATGTCCGGATAATAATATAGAAGCACAATGGCAGAGAATTGTCCACTCTTTACAAACTGCAGCAAAGGCAACACTTGGGTACCAAAGGCCACCATCAAAAAATCTGTGATACGAACAGGAGTGTCGTAATGCTACTGATATGAAAAACGCAGCGTATAGGGCAACCCTGCGGTCAGTAGCAACACGTAATGCGATGGAGAACTATCGGGAGAAAAGGAGAGAGGAGAAACGTATTTTCAGAAAAAAAAGAAGAAAGAGCAAGAAAAACGTAAGCGTGAGCAAATCGAAATGTACAGAAGTCAGAATGAAGTCCGAAAATTCTATCAACGGGTAAAACACCAAACCGAAGGCTTTGGTGCAGACACATCCTACTGTAGAGATAAAGAAGGAAACCCGGTGACAGATACAGACAGCGTGCTGAGTATCTGGAAGGAGCATTTTGAAAAACTTCTGGTATCAAATAGTAGCAGTGAAGTTTATACCCCAGAACCAATAATAGATGACGGTATAGATTGTATACCACCTAGCCAAGATGAAGTCAGAATAGCAATCAATCGGCTAAAGAATAATAAAGTAGCAGGTGCCGATGGGTTACAAGCCGAACTATTCAAGACTGGTGGTCAGATGCTGGTAAGGAGAATGTACCAGCCGAATAGTACAATTTGGCTAGAAGAATGCATGCCCAATGATTGGAACCTCCGCATCCTGTGTCCCGTGCAGAAAAAAGGAGACAAGACGATATGTGCCAACTCTAGACGAATAAGTCTCCTTTCCATCGCATATAAAGTGCTATCCAGCGTACTGTGTAAACGACTGAAGCCAATGGTCAATGACATTATTGGACCATACCAATGTGGCTTCAGACCTTGCAAATCCACCATTGACCAGATTTTCACTCTGCGCCAAATCATAGAAAAAAACCCACGAAAAACACATCGACACATTCCACCTATTTGTCGACTTTAAAGCCGCATTCGATAGCCCGATCCGTACAGAGGTTTTTAAATCCATGTCTGCGTTTGGCATTCCTGCAGAATTAATTCGGCTATGCAGGATAACAGCCCTTGATGTCGGAAAGGACCTCTCGAAACCCTTTAATACCGAACGAGGATTCAGACAAGGTGATAGTTTGTTGTGTGACCTTTTTAACATCCTGCTGGAAAAGGTCATACGAGAGGCAAAAGTGAACAGAAATGACACTATGACACCAAACAACACATGTTACTCGCCTACGCCGATGACATAGACATAATGGGTCGAACATTCAGAGCGGTAACTGCCACCTTTGAACAAATTGAAAATTAAACGATGAGAAGACCAAGATTTTATATACCTTGATACCGCCATAAATAAATCGAATCATATCAGGTTTGAAATTCGGAGAAGGATAGTGATGGCCAACCGATGCTATTATGGTCTGAGCAAACAACTCAAAATCAAGGCCACCTCTCGCCAGACCAAACTTACACTCTACAAGACGCTGACACTACCCGTGCTGTTATATGGATCTGAAGCATGGGTACTTGCGCAAGCATATGAGGCAGCTCTTGGAGTGTTTGAGAGAAAAATTCTTCGAAAGATCTATGGGCCGATCTGCGTTGACGGTGAATATCGCCGTCGAATAAACCATGAGTTGTACCAGCTATTGTCAGACGTATTGAGCTGCAGCGACTACGTTGGCTAGGTCATGTTGTGAGAATGGATGAAGATGCCCAGCCCAGAAGTCATATAAAAGCGAACCAGTTGATGGTTCACGCAGAAGGGGAAGGCCAAGAATACGTTGGAAAGATCAAGTCCAAGATAACATCGACGAAAATTGTCTTTCAAATTGGAAAAACTGCGCAAAAGACCGACGCGTCTGGAAATCATTTTTAAGTTCGGCCTATGGAACGAAAGTTCTGTCACAAGCCAGCTAAGTCAGTAGCATGCCTTGCTGGGCTCTTGAAAAATATTTTTTAAACACTCTACGCCTTGCTAGGCTCCTGAAAAATAATTTTAAAAAAATCATGCCTGAGAATAGACTTTGAACAATAATTTTTAAAAAATCCACTCCTGAGGATAGATTTTGAACAATAATTTTTATAAAATCCACTCTTATGCATTTTCCTTAATTGTTTTTACAAGATCTGATATTAATTTTATTTTCTTTCCCCCCTCTCTCTTTCCAGATCCCATGACCGAGAAAGTGGCGATTATGCTGGCTCAATATCAGACCTCCAAAGTGTTACCTCCCGTCTCAGCACCGTATCGGTAAGTTGACCTGTGAACATTGCTGCAGCACCTGCATTTCATATTGTCTGGATATTTGTTGTTGTTGTTTTATTTATATATTTTGTTGTAAATTTTCACCTCCATGGCTCCTTTGCCGAACCAAACTGACAAAAAACTCTCCTTTCGACAATTTATTTGCGAATTAGATTAAATGTTAGCGTTAATGCCAGCACACAAGTGCAAATAATCTGTAAACTTGCAACATTTGTCCGGAATAGCAATTTTTTTCTCCCCCACAGAAACGAACTGGAAAACAAAAGATTGTTTTGCAACCATCGTGTTGTGGAGGATTGATGGTTGCAACCCCGAGATTTTCCCTCCATAGAATTTCCATTGCACCGACGAAATTGATAAAGTGCACTTGAACAAACAAACTTTTTGTTGTTGTTGTTGCCCAGCAATATTTTCTTTTCAGCTCAGCCAAAGCTGTTTTTTTTTTGTATTTTTGGTTGGTTCGTTGTTTGGGTGTTTCAAAGCATCTGCAGCAATTTTTGTGACATTTGTTTTCTTTTAAGTCTAGCTGAAATTTTTGATTCCCACCCCACTCCCTTCGAAAATGTTTGCAAATCGTGTACAATGTTGCACATTTGTCCAAAAGCAAATTGTGTTTAGATTCTTTTGTGAAAATATACTCCTCCCCACCCCAGCCCAACTGCTTGCGGTAAATCAGCTAGCAGACAGCATCATAAGATTACCAGCCACGAATCGGAATCGTCTCCACCGCCATGCATTGCAAACACCACACGTAGAATCTCTTCTGGATGGGTTTGCTGCAATACTTGACAAGCAAAACGACCAAACCAACCGAACGACGAAACATCCATCCCACCGAATCCATCGACCGACCAACCGACCGTCCGACCTCTATCAGACCAACCACATTGGCAATGAAGTCACGTTTTGCGTTTGAATTTAATTGCGATTTAATGTGAATTCTGTTGTGAACACAGACAATGAGTTTTAATTTGATTTGTGATGACCTCCAGGCCACCACAACCCATCCGGGACCCCGAGACTACTTCATAAATGGCAAATGTTTATATCTCCTCCTCATTCTTTGGTTCGATTTGGGTTTTTTTGGTGGTTTGTTGAGCATTTCATTTCGATCATCGCCATCATCAGATGTGCATCGTCATTATTATCAATTTGTTTTCTATCATCATTTTCTCTCTCCATCATTGCAAGCATTTTTCTCATTCTCCTTTGTGTTCTGTTTTTCAGATTAGTACCAATAATTGCACGGCTCGTTATCGTACACTGAGTGGTGGCCTTGGCAATTCACCATCTCTATCGCCCAGTCCATCCTCCGATTATGAAGACATTGGCATTGGTGCACCGCGTGCCCTGCCACCCAGCCTAGCGGCAAAGGTTAAAAAGAACGGTGCCATTGCAACAAAATCAAATACAATTAGCCAGAAAGCAACCATACATCATGTAAGTAGTAGTGGTCCTATGAATCCTTTTAGTTTGCTTTTTGTTGTTAAAGTCCATGGCCATGTCCAAGTCAAGGAGTTTAATTAGAAACTACGCTATTGTAAGACAAGCAAGAAATGAACGCACTATTGTTCAGGTAGATGTAATTAAACATGATTTGGTATTAATTGTTTGCAGTGAAAGGGAATTGGACGTTTTTCCAATTGTTTGAAGAGGTCCTTAGAAGGCACATAGATGCATACAAAGATTGATTACATGTAATGAAGATTTGATAGGATTTAAGGGACATAATTGAGGTTTAACACAAACGTGAATAAATTTTAAAAAAATCCACGCCTTGACGAAGTCCCTGGAAAATAAAATTAAAAAAACCACGCCTTGACGAAGTCCCTGAAAAATAAAATTTAAAAAATCCACGCCTTTACGAAGTCCCTGAAAAATAAAATTTAAAAAATCTACGCCTTGACGAAGTCCCTGAAAAATAAAATTTAAAAAATCAAAGCCTTGACGAAGTCCCTGAAAAATAAAATTTTAAAAATCTACGCCTTGACGAAGTCCCTGAAAAATAAATAAAAAAAACACGCCTTGACGAAGTCCTTGAAAAATAAAATTAAAAAGTAGCAACACGTAAAGCGATGGAGAACTATCGGGAGAAAAGGAGAGAGAAGAAACGTATTTTCAGAAAAAAGAAGAACGAGGAAGAGCAAATCGAGATGTACAGGAGTCTGAATGAAGTCCGAAAATTCTACCAACGGGTAAAACACCGGTGCAGGCACATTCTCCGGTAGAGATATAGAAGGACACCAGGTTTCCTTCGGATAGAGACAGCGTGCTGAGGATCTGGAAGGAGCATTTTGAAAAACTTCTGGTATCAAATAGTAGTAGTGAAATAGATTGTATACCACCTAGCCAAGATGAAGTCAGAATAGCAATCATTCGGCTGAAGAATAATAAAGGAGCAGGTGCCGATTGGTTACAAGACGATATGTGCCAACTATATAGGAATAAGTCTGCTTCCCAACGTATATAAAATGCTATCCAGGGTACTGTGTGAACGTCTGCAGCCAATGGTCATTATTGGACCATACCAATGTGGCATCAGACCTGACAAATCCACCAATGACCAGATTTTCACCCTGCGCCAAATCCTGGAAAAAAACACGAAAAACACATCGACACATGCCATCTATTCGTCGACTATAAAGCCGCATTCGACAGCCCCATCCGTTTAGAGGTGTATAAAGCCTTGTCTGCGTTTGGCATTCCTGCAAAATTAATTCGGCTATGCAGGATAACTTTAACAGACACAAGATCAGCAGTTAAAGTCGGAAAGGACCTCTCGGAGCCCTTTAATACCGAACGAGAATTCAGACAAGGTGATAGTATGTCGTGTGACCTTTTTAACATTGTGCTGGAAAGGGTCATTCGAGACGCAAAGGTGAACAGAAATGACACTCTGTACACTAAACAACACATGTTACTCGCCTACGCCGATGACATCGATATAATGGGTCGAACTTTGAGAGCGGTAACAGTCACCTTTGAACAATTTGAGAAGGAATCTGTCAAAGTGGGTCTGGTAAAAAACGGCGAGAAGACCAAGCTGATGGTATCAACGCGCAAGACGTCGGACCAACTGTGGAACTTGAGAACCACAGCATCGATGTAGTCAAAGATTTTATATGCCTTAGTACCGCCATGAATAAAACGAATGACATCAGTTTTGAAATTTGGAGAAGGATAGTGATGGCCAACCGATGCTACTATGGTATGAGCAAACAACTCAAAAGCAAGGCCACCTCCCGCCAGACCAAACTCACACTCTACAAGACGCTGATACTACCCGTGCTGTTATACGGATCTGAAGCATGAGTACTTATCCAAGCAGATGAGGCAGCTCTTGGAGTGTTTGAGAAAAAAAATCGATGGCAGTGAATACGCCGTCGAATGAACCATGAGTTGTACCAGCTATTCTCGGACATCGACATTGCTAGACGTATTGAGCTGCAGCGACTACGTTGGCTAGGTCATGTTGTGAGAATGGATGAAGATGTCCCAGCCCAGAAGGCATATAAAAGCGAACCAACTGATGGTTCACGCAGAAGAGGAAGGCCAAGAATACGTTGGAAAGATCAAGTCGAAGACAACATAGCTGAAAATGGTCTTTCAAATTGGAAAAACTGCGCAAAAGCCCAATGCGCCTGGAAATCTGTTCTAAGCTCGCCTTATGGAACAAAAGTTCTGTCACAAGCCAGCTAAGTAAAGTCAGTAAGTTGATAGTCCTTTAAAAATAACTTTTAAAAAATCCACGCCTAAGGATATGCTTAAAAAAAGCGTTTTTAAAAATCCATTTATCCTTGAAAATAGCTTTTGGCCTTAATCGTCCCTTTATCCTTTCCCTGAGTTTGTCTTGTAATTAAAAAGAAGAATTGAAAAACAAAAACAATGTTTAGTTCTGACAATGGTGCGTTTATTGACTTCAAAGTTGCTTTCATCAAATACTAAAGACTTTCAGTTTGGAAAACATACTAACTTTGTTTGAATTTTTTTTCTTCCCTTTCTCTACCCCTTTAATGCTGCTGCCCTGGAACTTTTCTTCACGTTTTGTTGATGTTTATTTCCAATAATCTCGAAAAAACACAACTCTCCGCCATGGACTCATCATTCATGTTTGTACACACACACACACATACATGGAACAACAATAATTGACTGCTGTTTGTTGTTGGTTTCCTTGGAATGTATTGCAACTGGACGGTGGTCTCCACAACGGATGTATGGATATGTGGATGTTCTTTTCCTGGCAAAATATTGGATAAATTTGATGGAATGCTGTTTGCTTGCTATAAAACTTTCAACACAACTTCACAACCACATCAACAAAAACAACAATTCCGAATTTAACAAAAAAAAAATCACATCACTCAAATTCTGCAACCCGTCCCTCTTCCTGGACAATGACATTGCTATGCGATGCTGATGATGCCCTTGTCTTTCGATTTTCTATGCCATACCATCATGCTGCCACTGCTTCTGCTGCCACCTCCTGATGACTGATATCTATCCCGGCTGCCACTTCGTATTTTGTACAGACCAACGAAATGCGAAACTCGCAAAAGGAAATTGGCACATTTAATGAGAATGGAGTGCGAAACTTTGTTGCCACAAAGGATACTTCAAGGGATTTTAGCAATTCCCAAGATAATACCGACCGGGGCAGTATGAGCGATCAGGCCTTTGCATATTCGGCGAGTTCAGTGGAAAGTTTACCCAGTGCTTCCGGTTCAAGTAAGTAATTCTCTAGCTCTAGTCTCTAGTTGTTATTGTTCCATTATAGTTTTCCTATGCTATACAATTGTTCATCTATGTATCTAGTCAAACAGTCATGCAGCAGCTTCGACTGGGTGTGTGTGTCTGAGTGTGCGTTTGCATTTTTGGATTTACTTACCATTTCATCAGTTTAGTCTATTACCGAAAAACAATCGTAATAGATGAATGACGAGATGGATGGATGTTTGGGTGTTTGGATACCAGTATCTCTCACCCAGACCCCCTATTCCCCCCATGGAATCCAGTTGCAAACTTCAAATATATGCAGATGCATTTCGTATCTACTCCATGGGTAGTTTTATTGTCGATTTTATTTTGTCGAAGTTTGTCCGTTTGTTTGTATAAACATTGACGATGGCGATACAAACAACGCAGAGAACGATGATACTGTGTTTGCATAGACGAAACCAAGAAGGATATCCTGTTGTTTTTCGTTAGTTTCAGTTTAAGTGGTTTTTTGGTTAAAACTGTGGAAATTTTGAAAACTTAATGAATTTTTAATATGCTTCCTGGAATGTTAAAGGCTTGTTGTTTTTGCCATATCACCATCCATACACCCTCCGAATAAAAGAAAGACATTGACTGACATTTCCACGGGAGAGTGGAGGGGAAATGTTTAAAAGGCAATTGGTTCCGCTCACACGTCCATACTTCATGTGTATTCTACATTAATGGACAGTGTTTTGGAACGGGATGGTAAATCAAAAAAGTAGGAGGAAGACTGGAAGACAAAAAAGTAAATTTCTCTTAAATAAAAATAAACTTTAAACAGTCCTAAGGATAGCCTTTAAAAAATATTTTTAAAAAATTTACGACTAAGGATGGCCTTGAAACAAATTTTTTTCAAAATCAACGCCCAAGAACGATTTTATTTTCAAAATCCACACCTAATGATAGCCTTGAAACATTTTTTTCAAAATCCACGCTAAAGAATGACTTGAAAACATATTTTTTTTATAATTCAAAGCCTAAGGATGGCCTTGAAAGTTTTTTTTTAATCCACTCCTCAAGATAGACTTCAAATAATATTTTTTTAATTCAAAGTCTTAGGATGGCCTTGAAAGTTTTTTTTTAAATCCACACCTAAAGATTGCCTTCAAAATCCACGTCTTAGAATGGCTTGAAGAAACATTTTTTAAAAATCCACACCTAAAGATAGCCTTCAAAATCCAATCCTTAGAATGGCTTGAATAAATAATTTTTAAAAATCCACCCCTAAGGATAGTCTTCAAAAAATATTTTGTAAAAATCCACGCCTTAAAAAATATTCAGTAAAAATCCATAGTTTTGAAAAATACTTTTTTAAAAATCCACTTCTAAGCATAGCCTTGAAGAAATTTTTTCCAAAGATCCAAGCCTAAGGATAGCCTCGAAAATTTGAACCGATTATCACGAAACTTTGCACACATCATTCTAGACTTAATTCAGTACGCTATGCCAAAATTCGTGTAAATGAAGAGATTTCCAGGGACTTGAGTGCACCAATTACTTAAAATCGGGCGAAACTATATATGGGAGCTATATCTAAATCTGAACCAATTTTCATTAAACTTAGCACACTTTATTATAGACGCAATTCAGTACGCTATGCCAAATTTCGTGCAAATCGAGAGATATATAGAGATGAAAATATATATGGGAGCTATATCTAAATTTGAACCGATTATCACGAAACTTTGCACACATCATTCTAGACTTAATTCAGTACGCTATGCCAAAATTCGTGTAAATGAAAAGATTTCCAGGGACTTGAGTGCACCAATTACTTAAAATCGGGCGAAGCTATATATGGGAGCTATATCTAAATCTGAACCAATTTTCATTAAACTTAGCACACTTTATTATAGACGCAATTCAGTACGCTATGCCAAATTTCGTGCAAATCGAGAGATATATAGGGGCTTTGGTACACAATTTACCTTGAATCGGACGAAGTTATAAATGGGAGCTATATCTAAATCTGAACCGATTTTCACGAAACTTGACACACATCATTCTACTCTTAATTCAGTACGCTATGCCAAATTTCATGCAAATCAAAAGAATTCCAGGGACTTTAGTGGACTATTTACCTGAAATCGGGCGAAGCTATATATGAGAGCTATATCTAAATCTGAACCGATTTTCACTAAACTTTGCACACATCATTCTAGACTTAATTTAGTACGCTGTGCCAAATTTCGTGCAAATCGAGAGATATATAGGGGCTTTGGTACACAATTTACCTTGAATCGGACGAAGTTATAAATGGGAGCTATATCTAAATCTGAACCGATTTTTCCCAATTTCAATAGGGTTCGTCCTTGGGCAAAACAAATGAGCTGTGTCAAATTTCATCCAATTCGGATCATAAATGCGACCTGTACTTTGTTTACAATTTAAAATGGACAGACGGACGCACGGACATGCATAAATCGATTCAGAAAGAGATTCTATGCATATTCTCAAAAGTAACCATGGGTATATCTCGATTATTTTTGCCTGTTGCAAACATGTGAACAAAGACATAATACCCTGTACCACAGGGTATAATAAAAATAATTCTCCGAGCCTTGGTAGGCATTAGAAAACATTCACAAAAAAAACTTAACTACTCCAAGGCCGGGAAAACTGTTCTTAAAAAATTTTCAAGCCTTGAAAATATTCGTTAAACATCTCTTGTCTTGAAAAATATTCTTCCAAATTCTCCAAATCTCAATAGACGTTGAAAAATATTCCTAAAAAAATCTTCAAATCTCTGAATCGCAATTAACGTTGAAAATATATTCTTACCAAAGCATCAATCTTCAATAGGACTAAAAATATACTATAGGTCTGCAAAAAAAGAAAAAAATTGCATCGAAAAAATATTCTTCCGAATTCTTCTCAATACCATTCCGAAAAAATCTCAGAGCCTCCATGGACCTTGAAAATATTCATACAAAATCTGCAAACCTCAATATAAAAATTAGATCTGCTAAAAAAATATTTTTAAAATATATTTTCGATATGCCTGGAAAAAGTATTCTTAAAAAATCTCGCAGCCCAATATGCCTTGAAAAAATATTTCCTTGAACCACTGTACCTTTCTCCGATTGTGCATACATGTTACATGCAAATGCCTCGTTATATTCGACCTGTATGCCTCGTATAATATCCACCCTCTTAATTTGTATGGATGTGAGTGTGTGTTTGTCTGTGTGCGTGTCCCTTCCATGTGTCCTTTTTTCCAAACAACTTACCATGATTGCTGGAATTAATACTAAGAAGGAAATTGGTTTCGCCATTGCCAACAATGGGATGCTTGAAGGGATGGAGGTAGGGTTAAGGCTACAAACCCCAAAAAGGATGAGGTCCGGAATTTGATGTACACTCTTTGTGCGAAACTCTATTAATGAAGAACAGCAACGACTACAACAACAACAAAGTTTTTTCTTCAAGTATTTTTCTTTTGAACAGCAGTCCAATGAATAAAACAGGAACCAGAGGAACATCAATGAACGCAACGCACCCACCAACAGCACTTGATATTTTGCGACAAAGCCGAATTAAAAGAAAGAACAAACCAAAAAAAGAACGACAAGAGTCAAGTAAAAGTTGTTGTTTTGAAAAATTGATGAAAATTTATTTTACCCAAAAAAAGAACACACGCACACACACACCCTCACCCATACTCTCAAGCAACCACTCTCATGATAAGAACAAAAAATTAATTAAAAATACTTAAAATATTTCTTGAGCAAAGTTTTTCCAACTACTGGAAGATATCTGCTGCTTTGCCCAAGGAATAATATAAATTTAAACTCTCCAGCACCCCCCCCCCTCTCTCCCCCCTCCCTTCCTCTCGTTGTCGTTCTCTTTGGTAACCTCATCTTGGTCTCTTGTTAACTTTGGCATTTTTTCGTTTCTTCTTTTTGTTGAAAATTTATTTTTTAATTTATTGTGTGTTCATTTATTTACTTGCAGGCACTCAGGCCTTAGTACGTCCAGGCAGTCCACAAAGTTCCATTTCAACCGATGATCGCATCTCGTTAGCAGCACCAATATGCAAAGCAAAGGCACTTGTCGATAGCATGGCAAATCCTTACGATAAGGATGCACTTAAATTTAAGGTGAGTATCAAAAATCAAAGACCAAAAAGCAGCGTATCAAACGCCGCCAATGACACACCAACAAAAATTATAAAAAAAAAATAAAAAACAACAACCAAATCCGAAAGGACGACAACGTCAATGCAAAGCAAACACGCTCAAACACTGGAGAATATGCTTAGGTGGCTGGCTGGCAGGTTGGCAGGATATTCAACAGCAGCAGCAGCATCAGCTTTATGCTGTTGCTCAACAACCCTCCATATTGAATCTCCAATGGCTCGGATGATGAATGGCCGTGTCCTTTCAAAACTTAATGGCAAATGTTCCGGTAGATTTTGTTGCTTTAAACATCTTTTCTTTACATTATGATGACACAAACATAAATTGTCCTTTCGATGGCTGGCAAACACCTATACACCTACCTTACAACCCCTCCATATTGTCCCTCTTTGCATTTGACTTATTTGTGACACTTAAATCATTCTTGTCATCGTTGTTGTTATTATTTTTTCTTTTTTCTTCTTCTTATTTTCATGCCATAAATAATTTGTCTTCTTGTTTTTGTTCTGTTTTTATTCCATCATCTCTTTTTATTTTTTCCAGAAAGGTGACATAATAGAAGTGCTTTCAATGAACGCCTCGGGCATATGGAAGGGTCGTTGCCATGGCCGTGTGGGTCATTTTAAGTTTATCAATGTCGAAGTGCTGCCAGATCAGCGTTTAAAACACTCACACAGTAAAACGCTGACTGGCCTGGCTGGCAAGAGTATAAGTGCCGCCATGGGTATTGGCGGAAGGCATATGGCCAATGTGAATGGTCCACATTCGGTGGAGGATCTCTTAATGCGCATTGGCTTGAAGGAGTACACTTCGGTGTTTGTTTTAAATGGGTAAGTTTACAAACAAAATATGTTTAAACATTCAAGCCTTTCAGGACCCTAAAAAAAAGTCCAGGCCTTCTAGGACCCTGCAAAAAATATTCTTAAAAAACCAGGCTATCTAGGGCCCTACAAACAATGTTCATAAAAAACAGGCTATCTAGGACCTCAGTTAGGCCTTGAACAAAGTCTTCTTTAAAAAATCCACGCCTCAGTTTGTCCTTGAAAAAGTCTTCTTTAAATCTGTAAGAAAAGTAGTAAAGTCGAACGAGGCCGACTATATGATACCCTTCACCACTTTGGGTATATTCAACAGATGAATCCTAACAGACGTCGCATTTTTAAAGGACCAGTAAAAAGAAATTTGATCCATAAAAGTTTCATTCTGCAACCGATACTAATTTCTTCCTTTGGTCAGATATAGAAGCTATATCTAAATCAGAACCGATTTTCAGGAAACTTAACAGACATCATTCTAGACCTAATTCATTACATTGTGCCACATTTCGTGTAAATCGAAAGACATATAGTGACATTGGTGCACCATTTACATTAAGTCGGACGAAAATATATATGGGAGCTATATCTAAATCTGAACCGATTTTCAGGAAACTTACATATGGGAGCTATATCTAAATCTGAACCGATTTTCAGAAAACTTAACACACATCATTCTAGACCTAATTCATTACGCTGTGCCAAATTTCGGGTAAATCGAGACATATATAGGGACTTTGGTGCACCATTTACATTAAATCGGACGAAAATATATATGGGAGCTATATCTAAATCTGAACCGATTTTCACGAAATTTTACACACATCGTTCTAGGCTTAATTCAGTACGCTGTGCCAAATTTCTTGCAAATCGAAGGATGTATAGGGACTTTGGTGCACTATTTACCTAAAATCGGACGATAATATATATGGGAGCTATATCTAAATCTGAACCGATTTTCACGAAATTTTACACACATCTTTCTAGACTTAATTCAGTACATTATGTCAAATTTCGTGCTAATCGAAGGATATATAGGGACTTTTGTGCACTATTTACCTAAAATCGGATAAAAATATATATGGGAGCTATATCTAAATCTGAACCGATTTTTCCCAATTTCAATAGGGTTCGTCCTTGGGCCAAATAAGTTACCTATGCCAAGTTTAATCCAAATCGGATCATAAATTCGACCTGTACTTTGTTCACAAAAATACACGGACGGACGGACAGATGGATATGCGTAAATCGACTCAGAAAGTGATGCTATGCATATTCTCAAAAGGAACCATGTGTCTATATCGTTTCCTTTTGCCTGTTACAAACATATGCACAAAGACATAGGCCTTGAAAAAAAGTCTTCTTTAAAAATCCACGCCTTGGATAGGCCTTTTCAAAAAGTCTTCTTTAAAAATCCACGCATTGGATAGGCCTTTTCAAAAAGTCTTCTTTAAAAATCCACGCCTTGGATAGGCCTTTTCAAAAAGTCTTCTTTAAAAATCCACGCCTTGGATAGGCCTTTTCAAAAAGTCTTCTTTAAAAATCCACGCCTTGGATAGGCCTTTTCAAAAAGTCTTCTTTAAAAATCCACGCCTTGGATAGGCCTTTTCAAAAAGTCTTCTTTAAAAATCCACGCCTTGGATAGGCCTTTTCAAAAAGTCTTCTTTAAAAATCCACGCCTTGGATAGGCCTTTTCAAAAAGTCTTCTTTAAAAATCCACGCCTTGGATAGGCCTTTTCAAAAAGTCTTCTTTAAAAATCCACGCCTTGGATAGGCCTTTTCAAAAAGTCTTCTTTAAAAATCCACGCCTTGGATAGGCCTTTTCAAAAAGTCTTCTTTAAAAATCCACGCCTTGGATAGGCCTTTTCAAAAAGTCTTCTTTAAAAATCCACGCCTTGGATAGGCCTTTTCAAAAAGTCTTCTTTAAAAATCCACGCCTTGGATAGGCCTTTTCAAAAAGTCTTCTTTAAAAATCCACGCCTTGGATAGGCCTTTTCAAAAAGTCTTCTTTAAAAATCCACGCCTTGGATAGGCCTTTTCAAAAAGTCTTCTTTAAAAATCCACGCCTTGGATAGGCCTTTTCAAAAAGTCTTCTTTAAAAATCCACGCCTTGGATAGGCCTTTTCAAAAAGTCTTCTTTAAAAATCCACGCCTTGGATAGGCCTTTTCAAAAAGTCTTCTTTAAAAATCCACGCCTTGGATAGGCCTTTTCAAAAAGTCTTCTTTAAAAATCCACGCCTTGGATAGGCCTTTTCAAAAAGTCTTCTTTAAAAATCCACGCCTTGGATAGGCCTTTTCAAAAAGTCTTCTTTAAAAATCCACGCCTTGGATAGGCCTTTTCAAAAAGTCTTCTTTAAAAATCCACGCCTTGGATAGGCCTTTTCAAAAAGTCTTCTTTAAAAATCCACGCCTTGGATAGGCCTTTTCAAAAAGTCTTCTTTAAAAATCCACGCCTTGGATAGGCCTTTTCAAAAAGTCTTCTTTAAAAATCCACGCCTTGGATAGGCCTTTTCAAAAAGTCTTCTTTAAAAATCCACGCCTTGGATAGGCCTTTTCAAAAAGTCTTCTTTAAAAATCCACGCCTTGGATAGGCCTTTTCAAAAAGTCTTCTTTAAAAATCCACGCCTTGGATAGGCCTTTTCAAAAAGTCTTCTTTAAAAATCCACGCCTTGGATAGGCCTTTTCAAAAAGTCTTCTTTAAAAATCCACGCCTTGGATAGGCCTTTTCAAAAAGTCTTCTTTAAAAATCCACGCCTTGGATAGGCCTTTTCAAAAAGTCTTCTTTAAAAATCCACGCCTTGGATAGGCCTTTTCAAAAAGTCTTCTTTAAAAATCCACGCCTTGGATAGGCCTTTTCAAAAAGTCTTCTTTAAAAATCCACGCCTTGGATAGGCCTTTTCAAAAAGTCTTCTTTAAAAATCCACGCCTTGGATAGGCCTTTTCAAAAAGTCTTCTTTAAGAAATCCACGCCTTGGATAGGCCTTTTCAAAAAGTCTTCTTTAAGAAATCCACGCCTTGGATAGGCCTTTTCAAAAAGTCTTCTTTAAAAATCCACGCCTTGGATAGGCCTTTTCAAAAAGTCTTCTTTAAAAATCCACGCCTTGGATAGGCCTTTTCAAAAAGTCTTCTTTAAAAATCCACGCCTTGGATAGGCCTTTTCAAAAAGTCTTCTTTAAGAAATCCACGCCTTGGATAGGCCTTTTCAAAAAGTCTTCTTTAAGAAATCCACGCCTTGGATAGGCCTTTTCAAAAAGTCTTCTTTAAGAAATCCACGCCTTGGATAGGCCTTTTCAAAAAGTCTTCTTTAAGAAATCCACGCCTTGGATAGGCCTTTTCAAAAAGTCTTCTTTAAGAAATCCACGCCTTGGATAGGCCTTTTCAAAAAGTCTTCTTTAAGAAATCCACGCCTTGGATAGGCCTTTTCAAAAAGTCTTCTTTAAGAAATCCACGCCTTGGATAGGCCTTTTCAAAAAGTCTTCTTTAAGAAATCCACGCCTTGGATAGGCCTTTTCAAAAAGTCTTCTTTAAGAAATCCACGCCTTGGATAGGCCTTTTCAAAAAGTCTTCTTTAAGAAATCCACGCATTGGATAGGCCTTGAAAAAAGTCTTCTTTAAAAATCCACGCCTCAGTTAGGCCTTGAAAAAAGTCTTCTTTAAAAAAGCCACGCCTCAGTTAGGCCTTGAAAAAAGTCTTCTTTAAAAAATCCACGCCTCAGTTAGGCCTTGAAAAAAGTCTTCTTTAAAAAATCCACGCCTCAGTTAGGCCTTGAAAAAAGTCTTCTTTAAAAAATCCACGCCTCAGTTAGGCCTTGAATTCCGCTTTGTAACCCTGATTGTCCTTTATTCTAATGTCTATGTTTCTCTTCCCTTTAGCTACGAAGACCTGGAACTTTTCAAAGAACTTGAACCTGCCGATTTGGATTATTTGGGTATTATTAATCCAGATCACCGAACCAAGTTATTGACCGCAGTGCAGCTGTTGCATGATATGGATTGTGGTAAGTCTCTACAACAACAAGTGCATATGGGGGACGGGGAATTTAGAAATATTAAAAAAATAGAATAACTCATTTCAAAGGGTCTTAAAATTGTACTTAAAACATTTTCATTTGTTGTTTTACTTACTAAGCCCTTACAAAGCCTTAGGTTCAAAAATTAAAGCATACTTTCAGGCGTTAGATGAAAAGGCGTTTTTACACCTTTATGAATGGGGGTTATTTTACATTATTACTTATTGAATAATTATTTTCATCTCATTTTTTTCCCAAAATACAGCTTCCAATTTCCCCCAAACCGGTTCGGATGTGGACATTGCCGGTTCCAGTTCCGAAAACGACGAAGCCCGT